AAAGCTGTCTGCAGGCCTGGTCTCTCAGCCGCAGTGCCGGGCTAAGCTTCTGAAAACAGCTGGGGACAACCTCGACGGTTGATGTGGGGTTTGGGGAGTGATTTAAGAGTTGCAGGGAACCACTGTGGTACCTGGGAGGGAGAGGCTGCCCAGTGAATGCGGCCAGCAGTTGGATCTGCAGGGGATGAGTTACAGCGCGGCCATCCAGCACGGTCTGCAGCGTTGACCCTGCTCCTGCTGTCCTTCCTGGAGCACAGCTTACATCCCTTGTGCTGGAAACACATGAAGGGCCACATCGAGTGTTGCAGCGTTGGCTTTTGTTCAGCTCATCTAGAGAAGGGTGGAAAGCTGTGCCACTGTTTGGGAAATGCCCCATTACAATGCAGGTCGAGGGGAGCAGCAGGGAGGGCCATGCTTTCCTTCCTGTCCGTGGGACACTGCCTGCTTCTGCTGGGTGTGCAGAACAGCAGGATCCTGTGTGCTGAAGGGCTCTGGTGTCTCTTACCCTAAATGGAAGGGGGGGGTGGGATCTCCCTGGCTCCCCATCAGAGCCAGACTCCAGCTCAGCCCAGTTCCCGGATGGGCTACACTGAGATGTCCCACACCGGCCCCATCTCTCCTGTTGGTTGCCTGGCCGTGCTGCTGTGCTGCTGGCTGAGACTGGGAAGAACTGAGGAGTCCACAGCTATGGCTTTTTTCCTGTCAAAATCCACAGTGGTGTTTTGCTTTACTATTCAAGATGAAAGAGCGAGCTTTTGAGTCATTGCAGGTATGGGATGTTAATTGCATCCCCTTAAAAGCCAATTCAGAACGGTTCATCTGAACTGTGCCCCTTGACCCATGTCCTCAGGGGACCCTTCTGATATTTTGTGATACTCACAGGACAGGACATTCCAACACCAGCTTTTTAAACAAAGAATTACAAAAACAGTAAATCAGAAATTCTAGCTTAGCTGTTTCAGTGATGGGGTATGAGGGGGGAAACACAACACTGCTATCTGATACCTTTTCAACACAAACTGGGGCTGACCACACTACTTTGAAGCGCTAAAGCCACAAGTTAAGGATTGCACAGCACCCCCAGCGAATGTTGTGGTGCTCTAGAACATGTGCCTGATGTGCTGCAAAAAAAGGAGGGGGAAGTTCTGGGTTAGGAAGTGAAGTATTTGGCATAAATCTCTTTAGGGATAGATGTTATGTGTGAAATAAGAACTGCATGATAAATTACAGAACTATACGGTTGAATGGATTTTTTCATTGGGTTCCATGTGAATCACCTCCTCAGAGCTCCTGATGGGTCTCACCCGTGTCCATACAGTGGGGGTGTTTCTGGAGCAGCCCTGGAGCAACGCTCACATCTCACCATCTCTTGCAGAGTCTCTCCTTGGCCTGGGAGCCCTGAGCTCCCTGTCCAGCGGCGTCCAGCAGCAGCTGAACGAAACCCTGAGGCACCGCCGGCACGCGGGAGACGACGACTACAACATCGAGGTGCTGCTCGGCGTGGACGACTCGGTGGTGCGGTTCCATGGCAAAGAGCACGTTCAGAACTACCTGCTCACCCTGATGAACATAGTGAGTACCCTCCCTGCGCCGCACGGCGTGCTCTGCAGTGGGAAAGGCTTCTGTGGCCTCCTGCAGGGGCGTCCAGGAGACCTCGCTCGGGACAGGTACCAAAGGGATCATTTTGGCTGCTGTTGGGTATGGTTCTGTCTTCTCAAGATGCTCCTTTAACTGATCCTTTTTGCAGCAGTTCTCTAGGGCACGTTCTAGGGTAATTCCAAGTATTTGGAAACAGTTGAAAAACAGTGGGGAAAAAATATAAACTTGATGCATTTCTAATGATTCCTAACTAACCTGCAACACAATTCTGCAGGGAAACCTGGTTAAAGAATAAACACGCAGAGTCACACCTAACACACACAGTTAAACACCTAACAGCTCTCTGAAAGCAAGCAAACCTTCTGGTAACGTCTGCTCCTTAACTGCTGTGGCAATATCTGTGTTTATATAGAAACTGCAAAGGAGCAGAGGCTCACAGAACTCCTTTATCATAGGGTGTCTTGCGGGGTTAGCAAGTATTTGTTGTCTACATACACACTTTTGCTGTAAAATCAATGGCACGACTCTGTATTTAAAGATACAATCTTGAACTGCACTGACAGATTCTATGGAAATGCACATACAGAAGAGCACAGTTCACACTCACGTTACAAGTCCTGCATTATACCAGCACTGAATGATAGAATTGCTCAGGCTTAAATGTTTTCTGGTTTGTAAGTCTTAGAAAAAAAATCTTAAAGGTATATGAGATGGCTGTAAAGGAGATGTGTAATACCTTGCAGCGTGCGGCCTTTTCTTCATGCACGTAAGCATCAGATCCATATGGATACATCTTAGAAGCGGTAGGGATCATAAGGCTTTCCAGGAAAGAAAAGTGATATCCTCAGGGCAGACAATAAGAGAACAAGTTTGCAATTAATAATGATTTAATGAATGTGGAAGTTATTCTTGTATTTTTTACACTTATTTCTGGAATAATTTACAAATTATTCCTTAGGCTTACAGATTATCTTTGTAACACCTCTTTATTCTGCCTCACATCAGCCACCATCATTCCTGACTGAGAGAATTCAGTCCTTTCACTATGGCAAAGTATCAGAAACTCCTTCTCTCCCTCATCCCAAAACCCCATTTCAGCTCCCCGGTTCCACTTCAGATATGTGAATAATGATAATGACTTTGGCCATCAGCCCTTGGTTTATGCTTAGTTTACATGCTTGTGCTGATAATTTTTATATGCGTTTTCGGGGTTTCTTGGGCCAACGCCTTTGTGTTGGACCTCGTGTAACAGAACTGGCAGAAATGCTGCACTAGCAGTGACTGAGGCCTTGCTTCCCTCTCATGCCCTCTCCCTTTGGTCCAGGCTGTGATCCCTGTGGCTTGTAGCATAACGCTCCCATTTCTGGTGCCATTGCCAGAAGACCTCAGTGAGCTTTTAGATGGTTAGAGCCAGGTCCACTTAAAACCCCACAGCTCAGCACCCCCCAGCTTTTGCCCATCACAGTTTTGGAAGTGCACAAACTTGCTGAGCATCTTTGGAAATCTGCCCTACCTGTTCTGGCTCCCAAAATGCGGACCAGCATTTGAAAAATCTAATCTATATAATTTGACAGGAAAAACTGTTTCTCTGTATGAATTTAAACCAACTGGTATCTTTTCCAGCGTGACTCTGTGTAGAACTATAACAACTCTGTATAGAATTATAGGGTGCTATAAATCTAGAATAAGAAACTCCAGACATACACACACATTGTAACTGCAAAACCAGAATTTAGTCTGCTGGGTTTACAGCCTGCGCCTTTGTTCAGTCTCGTGCCTCTCCTACTGTTTCTGTAATTGGAGTGTATATGTTTTAGGTCGCTGTGGTATTGCAGTTTGCTGGGGAGGTGCTCTCCAGCAGTAAGGGTTGATGGTTTGATGAAAAGGGGCTGTTGAGTAGTGTCTGTGCATTGGGTTGTGGTGCCCACGGTGTTGAACCATAACGTCCTCTCCTCCTGTGCACACAGAAAGCCTTTGAGTGTGGTGCGCTGGGAGCTGGGTGTGCGGTTCCTGGAGCAGAAACACCCCTGAGCCTGGCTGCTCTGCAGCTCACACCCAGACACCGGCGGACCGACAGCACGACTCGTGGTGTGAATGCACATCTGGTGGCTGCATATGGCTGTTGTAGGAGAAGCTGCTTTTTTGGGCAGAGGGAATTGTCCAGCACATGAGCAAGTCTTGGCTCGCTGCGGATCCGCTGCAGCAGACGCTGTGCAGCGCAGCTGGGCTTTGGACAGACGTGACCCTGGCTTTGGGGTTCAGCGTTAGGGCTGGATCTGGTGGTGTGAGCTGACCCTAGTGTATCTACACTTGTATCCATCCTGTGTGATCTGCTGTGGTGATCCTGCTCTGGCAGGGGTTGGACTGGATGAGTTTTCGAGGTCCCTTCCAACTCCTCATATTCTGTGATTCTGTGATTAGGAACTGACATTTGTTACTGCCTTGGGTGGTTACTTAAGACAAAGCTTCCCTGGATTGAAGGAACAGATCAGAAAGATATCCACATAAGAGCACTGGGTTACACTGAGGATTCTAAGTGGGTTTGGACTTGGCAGGATTTATATCTTTTCTTTTTTTTCTTATTGAGAATAAGCCCAAATCAGGCAGCAGAGTGGTACTTCCATGCTTAATTCATGCTCAAATTTCAGGTTGCTTTAGACAGAGTTCCTCTTTTGTCCACTCAGCATTGCAGTTTTGTGGGTATCTCCTTTCTAAATAACAACTGTAGTTTGTCGTCCATCAGTACTGCTAATTTAGCACCAAAAAAAACCATCCACATTTAATTTTGTGTTGTTTCAGAGAGGCGAGTATCAGGACTGCTCAGTGCTGCAGTCAATGAGGTTTTTATTATCAGCTTCAATAGGAACAGAGAGAGCCAGATCGGTCTAAAAATCCTGCCGCAGGTCTCCATGCACACACTACCTGCAGTGCTGGATCCATCCATCACTCCTCTCATTTACCTTTTTCCAGCAGCAATAGGACAGCCCTGACTCTACGTGGCTTTTGCATTCACCTCTGCCTGTGTCTAGAGGTGCACATCACTGAACTGAGAGTCCTCCTGGCTTTTCCTGGTCTCTCACCCATCGCCTGGCAGTTCTTATCTCAGACAGAGGAGCAAAGCCAGCTCAGCTCCTTCCTTTCTGTGCAGTCCCACAGGGCAGTGAGAGCTGACCGCAGTGTGTACAAGCAGACAGGTAATGGGCAGACAGGAATAACCTGTGTCCTTTCTCTGTGCGGATCTGCCCCACGATCCTGGCCAGCAGCGCTGCAGAAATGCCAGCGTCCCTGAGCTTGTGGCTGTAACTTGTATTGCTGGAGAATGTGAAATAGGAGGTAACGTAGCTTTAGCTTTGGCAAATGTGGAAGCAAGTAAAGTTTTGAATCCAGAAAATTAGAGAAGTCATTGTTTGTGTAACAAAATATCTTGATAGAGTACTTGCAGGGAATCATTTTCTTTTCACCACATACCTCATGAAACATCAACAATACATCCTTATTAAAGATGAATATTGTCATTTTAGTTTGAACGGAACACTGAACTGTCAGCAGCAGAGCTGATACTGTCCCAAAACACTTCCATGGTTTCACAGGCGTCTGTGGCTCCATCTGCTGGGAGTGGGAGCCTGTGCCTGTGCACACCGAGGTACCTCTTCCTGCAGCAGCTGTGGGTCAAGGACAGCAAAGATCATTGCCTCTTTCAGCAAGAATGCTTGTGTGACCATCCAGTCCTTCCTGTCAGGATTTTAACCATGGTAATCTTTTATATGACTTTTTAAATGAGGTGCAGGTACAACAGGAAATGAGAAGAAAAGATGAGGAAAATTAAGAGCTGGTAATCAAGGCAATACTGTTCTTGTATTGAGCTGTTTATCAAAAGGCATTAAAGGAGAAGCAGCCAGTGATAAAAAGAGGAAGAAGAGCAGAGTCCAGGGTTCTCATGGCTCCCAGTGCTTGGACCCAGCAGCACCCATACCTCCCAGTGCTGCTGAGAGTCAGAAGGGAACACTTATACCAGGAGGTCTGGGAGCTGCTCTGGGCAGAGTGGCGATGGTGAGGCTTAGCTGGGCAAGTGGTCTATATCCCCAGGTCATTTGGGAGCTCGGATTGCCTCGGATCAGCACTGCAGCCCCTGCCAGGGCACTGTGGCGGTAGGGTCTGCATGCACTGGTGGGCAGCCGTGATGGGGAATTGCATGGAACCTGCACAAAACCACTGTGCAGCTGCTCGTGCTGCAAGGGGTGCTCAGAAACCACCCAACCTAACTGGGATGTCCAGTGGGAATCCGGATGCTTTTCCTTGCTGGAAAGGTCTTGCTGGAGGGGCCTTGGTTTCTCCCATCGCTGTCTTTTGAGTACATCAAGTTTGGGAACGTGGGTTTGCCCGTGCCACTCACACCGTGTCAACACGGGTGAGGCTCCCCTGAAGTCCCTGGCTCAGCTGTTATCTCCCCCTGCCTGTGCTCCTTTGCTGGCTGCAATTATTTGGTCTGTTTGAGCAGTTTTGTATCCCTTCTGTAAACAGACGCTTCCCCGCTTTATCTGCAGACTCACGCAGTTGTCATTGCTGTCGCAGTGAGTGAAGGCTGCCTGTGTGTGCTTACTGCTTCCGAAAAGCAGACGCACTGCTGTTTGCTTTTAAATCCCACAGCAGGGGCTGTGTGGCCGGCTGGACACCAGGGATGTGTTTCACAAGTTTGGATCAGACAAATCCAGCTCACTGGGGTGGGATTTATGTCTGTGTTGTGTAGCAGGACCAGCATCTTTAATGTCATTTCCTTTGCCATTTTAGCCCCGGTGCAGGCAGTTACAGCAGTGTGGAAGTGCTGCAGTCTGCACTGATGCTTGCAGCACTTTTTTGAGGTTTGTGGCCTTCTGGCATGGTTACAGGTTTCCCAGATTTCCCGTGTCTTGGTCACAGAGTAAATGTAAACTTGCTCCTTGAGAGAGTCCTCCAAAGCAATCCACAAAGAATGGGGTAAAAAATGGCATTGTGGGGAGATCTTGAAGACCATTTGAATGTTTAGGTCAATTCCAGGATCCTTTTTGTCTCCAAGAAAGCCACTCCTGGGAAGTTTGTTGTTTCTTGGTGCAAGGGAAACTGTTTTTTGTGATAAAAGTCTTGGTGGAATCCACTGTTGCATTAATGGGGAGAAGATACGAGATGAAGAGCTGAACTTTGGAGGAATTGCTTCACAGGACAGGCACTCTGAGCTCTGGTCTGGCTCCTGCTGACAGCCTCTTCTCAGCCACCCCTACAAGGGACCATGTTTCTAAAACCCACGGACTGGAAGCACCGTGCCAGGTCCCACAGTCTGGACAGCTCAGAATGACCCTTTTCCCTGGGGGAAGGGGAAGTTCTCTTTAGCCCGACTAAAAAAAACCCCAAACCTCGAAATCCTGCTCAAATATGCCAGCCTCTGAACAGTGGGGGTTATTTTTCACCAGTTACCCATAATATAATATTTATGCTGTTTTGAGGGGGATGAGTAACTTCATTGATGATCCGCAGATGTTTTTAGCCCCTAATTTCTGCTCTGGTGGCAGGACATTTCTCACCTTCCCAGACACAAGGAGGGTCCTCAGGAAGAACAATTTTTGAGCTGTCTGCATAATTCAGGGGTTTTTAGCTGCACTCCCACAAATACTCTTCTTAGTACAACAGTGACCACATAATTCTAATTTCTCTTGAAAAACTGGGTCAGCAGCATTAGTTGCTTCTAAAAAAGTGTTTTTCAAAACAAAACCCGCCATGAAACATTTTGGTTGTTGGTGCGCGGTGGAAGGGCAGCGTCACCTCTGGATCTGTGCTGTGCCCTCCGGGCTCAAGGGGACGTGGGCTCCTCTTGTTTGGGGGTGATCCTGAGCCCCAGTGTGTGAGATGAAGGACGCGCAGGCTTTCCTGCATGGGAGCACTAACAAGGCTGTTATTTCTCATCAGCTGCTCGTTTCACAGACAACTGCATACTGGATTTCTTTGTGATCTTTATTGCTTTGCAAGTGTTGCTGGAAGGTGCAAAACTGAGCCAAAACGTATTGGGGTGTTAGAACTAACAGTGGGACCGTCTGATCTGTATTTCCTTTGGCTTGCAACACTCGAATCAGAATTCTGCCGTTAAATGTCGAGTGCAGGTCTCAGTGCAGACCTGATCTGGACTGTTTTAGGAGACTCCCTGTGGGCTTTGCAGTTTGCTTGGTCCTGGGTATTTCTGGAGGGTTTTGAGGACGAGGGTGTGGGGTCTCCTGAGGTTGCCTTGCGGACGGGGTTTTCTCAGGCTGGTCGTTGCTTTTAACGTAGTAAACCTTGCCAGGCCACATAAAGGTTACCTGGGTTTGTGCAGTTGGTGCATTTTGTTAATGGAGCAGTCGAGCTGCAGAAGTCACACGTATCTGGGGATACCATTACCCTGTAAGGTGTACTGCAGCGTTTACGGCTCTGGCAGTGCTGGTGACTTTAAAACTTCCAGACGAAAGTTTCCAAAGCATTCCTGGGATTTGGAAACACTGGACCCGTTAATTTTAAGAATTGAGAGCACTGCTCACATCTTTAAAGCTGAGCACACGCCTACACGTGTGCAGAGCCGGGGCCTCCTTGGTTGTGTCACGGTCTGAATACTCTGCTTCAGAATGCAGAAATGGCCTTCGGTCCAGTCCTCAAGTATTGCCAAGGACAGGGCACATTTCCTTGAGCGAGAGCTGCTGCTGCAGGAGCCTTTTCAGAATGAACAGAATGTGCTCACTCGCTCACTCTCCAGGCTAAAACACTCATCCCGTGTGCTTAAACTGGTTGCAGCGAGACACGACTGACAAAGCAAACAGGAGCAGGAGCTGGGGCTCACCCACAGTCAGTGGCCAGATGGCACTGCCAAGGTGGCCACAGGGGTTGGATGGGGGGGTCTTAGCAGTGTTAAAGCAAACTCTGTCTGCTTTTACATCCCTCGGGGAACTTGACCATGCTGCTGTAACCCTACTCTCAGGAATAACCCCATTTCCCTCATTGTGTTTATCAAATGAGTGAAATTCAGCATTCAGATAAGCACTTGCAGGGTTTGAACTTGAAGTCTTTTTTTGCCCTCATCAACTTTCCTATTGGCCCTGGGCCCAAGGCCATTAAACGTGAGGACCCTGATGTGCTTCAGGAAGTTCAGTCTACACTTCTCACTGCTTGGAAGTGGTTTGAGACTTGAATCCTCTTCTGAGAATGCAGCAGTGGCATAAGCACGTGAAATAACATATACCTGCCCTTGGGAGTTCCCTCGGTATCGTCAGTGACTTTTTCCTTTTTAATTTTGCCTTATTTTTTTTTCTCCTCAGGTGAATGAAATCTACCACGATGAATCCCTGGGTGTTCACATAAACGTTGTGCTGGTCCGAATGATCATGTTGGGGTACGCGAAGGTGAGCAAGCCTCTGAACTCGTTCTCCATCTTCATCCTTGCAGTTACAGTCCCCGTGGATCCCGTGCATGGCCGTGGAAGCACACGTTTGCTGTCCCTGCCCAGCACACCCTGAGTGTGCTGTCCCCCTTCTGCGGCACAGCTGCAGCACAGCTTGATGTTTGCCTTGTAATTAAATTTACTGAGCTCATAAGCACACACTGTAGCACAAGTCTCACAGAAACAGATGTTTTATCTGCGTTAACCAGCACATTTATTTGCACTACAGTGTTTTGCTCCCGTTGAGGCACTGTCCTATGGGTTTCTGTTACTCACTTCCACCGCACAGGCTGTGTGTGCCACTGCCTTGTTGTTTATCCCAGTGAATTGTCACGTCACTGTTTGGCAGTCCAGAATGGAAGCAAGTTTCAACAAAACAAAAATCCTGATTGCATCCTAACATCAAGTTGCGTGTTTCTCCAGTGTGTTACAGGCTGCACACAGCAAGGCCATTATTTGCATAGATAATGTAAATGCTCATTACAGTGTCTTCAGAAAAACTCCCATAATATGTACCATTATACACACATGGTCACTGTTAACATTTCCTTTCCTCATAGGCAAGAATACTCCCATGACTGAGAGTGACAGGGTATTGGGAAAAGAGAAGTGGGGACCTGGTTGGTGCTCCAGGAAAACCAGAACTTGTCAGAACTTGGTGTGTTCAGGAGCTCCTGGGTCTGACGTGTTGCTCTTTCAGTCCATCAGCTTGATCGAACGGGGGAATCCCTCGAGGAGCTTGGAGAACGTTTGCCGCTGGGCCTATCAGCAGCAGAAGTCGGACCCCAATCACTCTGAGCACCACGACCACGCCATCTTCTTAACCAGGCAAGATTTTGGGCCTGCTGGTATGCAAGGTAATGCAGCTGAGCTGAGCAGAAAACTGTCTGGACTTGGTGGGTTTTGGCTAGTGCTTGCCAGAAAAGAGGAAAAATTGAAAATTGCATTGTTTTGTGATCCCAAGACAATGAGTGATGTGGGCCTCTGTGCAGCAAATACTTATGGCAGTGTTCAGATTTAGAGATGTACTGAAACCTGGATGAGAATGCCCTGCTTTCAGGCTTTATACCAAGAAAGCTTCTGTGCTCGTTTGCTGGTGAACCCATGCTGTCTGAAGCGTTATTTCTGCTTTTCCAAATAGCCTTTTGAAAAACACCCTGTGTTTTGGCTGTTGAGCTGGAGATGTCTTAGCCATTTGCGTTCAGTACCTCCATACACCCCTCACCTTTTCGGGGGCATGAGGGTCCCAGTTCTCATGCAGGTCTGGGCTGGCAGGCTTGGGGTGAGCTGGTCAGGATGGGATGTTAGGCCAAATTCATTGTCTTCAGAAAGATTTCAGCTTTCACGAAGGAAAAGACAAGCAATATGCGCCAGGCAACACGGTGATGAAGATACAAATATCAGCACAGGTGAAAAACCCCAGCCTGCAGCTCTACCTGTTAACTGAACAGGAATCTTGTACATTTTTGGTGCCTGAAGTAACACAGGTGTCTGTGGAATCAATTTCAGGCTGCCAGAGCCATTTACTCTGACAGCAATTGCACAGAGAGAAAGAATTGACAGTCAAAGGAAAAGACCCCTAGGTTCTTCTCAGGTAGTAAATGTGTTGGGGTGTCTTGTTTAAAATCAGTTAAATTGGTCAATGAATCAGACGTGATTTCTTTCAACAGGATACGCTCCTGTTACTGGCATGTGCCACCCGGTCCGAAGCTGTACTCTCAACCATGAGGATGGGTTTTCATCAGCTTTTGTTGTTGCTCATGAAACTGGCCATGTGTAAGTCTAACTCTTAAAATTGTATTACCATCAAAACAGGGTGCTGCATCTCTTGCTTGCTTCAAGGGGTTTAATCTTAATGGCTATATGAAAGCTATCCTCATTTTATTTCATCCCCTTGGAATGTATCAGTGGTTTAAGCAATACAGGCAAGTGGGGGAAGAAGGGAAGGGGAGGAAAGGGAGAACCAGCTCTCTGTGGGGTGAGGAAGGGTCAGTGAGAAACCTGGCAGGCCCAGGCAGTGGGGACAGCGGCTGCTCAAGCATCCTCACCTTCTTACTTCTCATGGACTGGGAGTGCTGATTTGTTAGACTTGGCGCTTCTTCAGGAATGATAACGTAACTGATTAAGCAAAGATGTCTGTTAGCTGGCTGGATGATTTCATGTCAAGCACTGATGAGCTGATTTTTGCCTTCCTTTAGTAGTACAGGCTACTTATTTACCACACTGGGTGTTTCTGCTGGTGTCACAGTAACATAGGAGGGATCCAGCCAAACTGGAGATGACCAAGTCACTTGCATATAAAGCTGTACCAGGTGCACGCTTAGAGATGTAACATGTAAACCATGCTGGCTCTTTGGAGATGCAGCGTGATAACTGTGTGAGCTCTGTGTTTAATAGGTGCTTTTGATAAATGAGTATACAAACACAAACAGCTCAACGTCTGAGTGAACTGCTCCCTGATGAGCAGAATTGTTTGCCTTTATCCGAAACATAAGAAGTCATCATCGTTTAGCACGTTCATTCCTGGAATTAACAAATCAAGTATAAAAGAGCGTGCATTCAGAGAGTCCTTACGTTTTGCCATCAAAGCAGATCAGTTTGAAATGCAGGTGATATCTACAGAATGCAAAGAGCAATTTCATTTTGCGTGATTCCATGTGCATGAGAAATTGTTTTTTTTACAGCGGTTTCAGCAGCTGCAGAGCAGAACCGGGCTCTGACACCAATTCTGTGTTTCAGGCTGGGAATGGAGCACGACGGGCAAGGGAACAGATGTGGGGACGAGACAGCCATGGGGAGTGTGATGGCTCCCTTGGTGCAGGCTGCCTTTCATCGCTACCACTGGTCCAGATGCAGCGGCCAAGAACTCAAGAGATACATACAGTAAGGACCGTCAGCACTCGGCGGTAGTTGTTGTACTAAAGGAAACGGAGGTTTTTGCTGTTCGTGGGTTGTGGGGCCAGTGTGCTGCCATGCGAGACAGCAAAGAGGAGAGAGGAGGCTGTCCCAGTGTGAAGGAGCAGGCACAAGTGTCATGCACAGGACCCTTGTTGCAAACACAAGAGCGCAGGGGCACTGGGGGTACTGAGGAACGGGGTCCTCTGGGGTGGCCGGCTCTGCTTCCAAACAGGGATTCAGCCTCCAAAGGTGTCCCAGTAGGCAGCAGCAAGACAGCGCCATCGCCACGTCTGGACTCCTCCATGGAGCCCTTTTCTGATCACCTTTTTTGCAATACTCTTTTTTTTTTTGTATCCCTTCAAATCCATCTTAGAAAGGCTGTAAAGCAGGATCAGTGTCTCCTCCCTTGGGGCTTTACTGGAAGCCCATGGCATCCTCTGGGGATGGCAGCAGGAGTCTCTCTGGCAGCCTTGGTGTCAGGTAGCTGGTGTTTTCCCTAGGTTTTTGGTTTCTCTAGGAGTTGTGCTGTGAAACTGGCAGGATGGAGCCCTAAACTGGAAAAGGCACTAGTAAAAGGTGTAGAAGATTGAAGAATGCACGTGTGCCCATATCTGAATTAGGAGAACAGCTCTCTGGCCTGCTGGCTCTAGTCTCCATCCCTGTGTGTACTTGAACCGATTCTTACTCAGGCTTCCTTCTCCATTGCAAATAGCCGGTTTTGCCAATCAAAACCGAGCAAAAACTCCACGAGTTGACCCACATCTCCTACAGAAGCAGCCCTATTCATGACGTGAAGCATAAAATAGTCATTGATTGAGAGCTCAGAGCTTGAAGTGAAACACCCCAAGGAGCAGCAGGAGGAGCAGCCCACCAGTGCCGCTATTTTAAGACCTCAGAGTTAAATAGGAATGAGAGAAAAGCAAGCATTATTCTTGCCCTTTCCGTAGGCAAATCCCTGTGAATACAGCAGATGTAGGTAAGAAGGCCTGTTCTCAGACTGCTGTCCTGCTGCACAGCTCCACAAAGGCAGTGGAAAGGCTCCCTGTGAGGACAGAGGCTTTGTGTTAGGAATCATAATCCAGGTCAACGCACATGGAGATGTTGCCCTCTGGCACTGAGAGTGGGGCAGTGTTTGTTTTCTACCTTGGGACAGGAAAGTGAAGTGCAATTTTCACCTTGTGCAAGGGCAGGGCAGGCCTGGAGATGCCTCTCCACAGTCTCCGTCTGGCAAGCGCAGGGATTTTGCTGTAGGATCTTCCCCTCCAGTGCTCAGTCAGGTTGCTCCAGGCAATAACCCTGCAGAAGGGGCTGTCTGTGCTTCAGGGAGCAGTCACTGTGTGTAAGTAGGACAGAAAAGAGGTTGGACAAAAGGAGTATTGCCTTGCTAAGAGTAAGTGCTTTGATCTTGCTGTTTGAAAAAAGAAATAGGACATTTTCTCATTATTTTTTTCCTGTGTATCTTCCCACAGCTCTTACGACTGTCTTCTTGACGACCCTTTTGAACACGATTGGCCCAAGCTTCCTGAGCTGCCAGGCATCAATTACTCCATGGACGAGCAGTGCCGCTTTGATTTTGGCGTTGGCTATAAAATGTGCACAGCGGTACGTCCAGGGCAGGCGGCGCAGAGGCAAACGTGCCTTCAGCAAGCTGGTGTCTGGCCTTATTTAAGAGCTGCAATATATGTGTTTCCTCATAATTGAAGAGCAGTTAATGGAGTAGTTTAAACAGAACCATAAAGAGGAGAGTGATATTTATGGTGGAGCGCATCCATCTGGGCCATTTGGTTTGGTGGTCAAGTGGCCAGCAGCACGGTCCACATGACACAGACTTGTGGTAGTGGTCCCAAGGAAGAAAGGGAAAAACCCCTCATTTTCCTCCCACTCGTGAGTGTCTTCCCCCTTTCCTCTTCTCACCAGCTCAGGACTAGAGGATGCAAGGAATAAGCACTGCCCTTTTCTTTCTGTACTTGTTGGTATCGGTGTGTGTGAGAGGAATTGACTGGGTGGTTTGAATCCTTATCTGAAAGGTATCAACAATCTGATGTTGAGTTTCACCTCACGAATGTTTGCATTTCAGTTCCGGACCTTCGACCCATGCAAGCAGCTGTGGTGCAGCCATCCAGACAACCCCTATTTCTGCAAGACCAAGAAAGGACCCCCACTGGATGGGACAGAGTGTGCCCCTGGAAAAGTGAGTGTTGTGCTTTTGCTGTGTTTGTGCAGTTGCCTTCATTTGGGTTGGAGGGCAGAGAGGAGAACGGGGAGCTGCCTGGCATCCCCCGAGTGAGGCCGGAGGAGGGAAAAAAAGGGAGCAGAGCTTTCCCACTGTGCTGCTCTGGGACCGTGCAAGGTTTGCCGTAGTACAGAGCACATTTTGGCCATTGAACCCCAGCTGAGGTGGAACCCATTCTCAGACCTCTCTTCTGTGGCCTTTCTGTTGGGTTTTTTTGGATTCTTGCCTCACCCGTAAAGTGTCCATGAAGTGTCTTTAGGAATCCATGGTAGCAGATAATGCTGTTACTGTAGGACTGCTTTGTAGTGCTTGTGGTCCAGACGTCCTGTGGCTAAATGTTTGTGCAGCCTTAGGATTAGCTCTTTATTTTTCCCTTTTAATATCCCTATTAGTGGGTGTCCTGCTACTGATTCATTTTTAATTACCAAATTATACTCAGATAAATGTTTGTTTAGCAAAGTCTGTGTATTTTGAGATACCGAAGAGCCGCTTTTACCATCTTGAGTACGCCCTAGCGAGCAGCAAGACACCACCCTGCTCAGTAACTACCCCTCTGTTCAGCCTATTTGTATATGTGTGATATTTGGCCAGGATGAGGAAAAAACCCAAGTAATCTTCAGCAAAAATGTTATCCTACTAATATTCAGAACATGAAAATTCCTTTTAAAAGGTGGTAGCAGCTAAGACTCAAACAATACAAAGACTGAAATGGAGAGGAGGGTGGAAGGTGTTTAGCCCAGGGAAGGATTCAGGCCAGGTTCAGCA